GAAGTCCTCTTGAATCTGGCAAGTGGTAAGAATCTCCTCCCAGACCCCAGATTTTAGAAGATTAGAAAAATCCTTTGTCAGTAACCAAGCTAAAGGTTGGGGCATACATTGGTCAGGGAACAGAAGCTAAGTATTGAGATTTTCACAGAAAGAGTCAAAGTCCAGTTCTTACTCACAATCAGTATTTTATACCAGATGGTTTCTGTGGAACTCTAGAACACATACTGTGAATGCCATGCTCTTCAAACTGATGAAAAGAAGAGAGAAACTGTTCAAAACAGTCAAGGGATCACACACTAGATCAGATAAAATGAGCTCAATATTAGCCAGTGCTGAAATACAGAAATGTGAGTTTCTTCAAAGGTCTACTACTTTTTTTAAATATTGATCATTTCAAATTTCAAATTTATAGAAAGTGAAAAATTAGAAAATATCTACTTCTATTATAAAAGCAGTGACCAGAAGTTTCCTTTACATAGGAGTCACCTTTATGCATTAAAAAATAATTGTAATTATATGCACTTTTTCAAAGGACTTTACTGCAAAAAGAGAGAATACCAGAGCTCCCCTAGCATGTTGTCCTTTTATGACAGCTCTTACCTGGATTTGACTTGTGTCATTTTAGTACTGTCTCTTTCATTCTATTTTGAGCTTTCTGAACAATCTCCTTTTCCACATTTCTCCCTCTTCTCCCAGAATCTAGAGCTATGCTTTATATTTAGCTAGCCCTTAATAATGTTTGTAAAAGGAGTTTATTAAAATAAATACTGGATGATCATTTTTTATCAAAAAGATAAAAAACAGAAAAAATTTTAAATAAATAATGTTGATAAAGTGAGTAGGTGATAAGAGAGAAAGAAAAGAAGGAGCCAAAAGGAAAGCGAGAGAGGTTACAAGTTAGGGTACTGAGCTCTGCCTTTGTAATAATCTGAGGAATGCTCATGGCATATCACTTTATAGTGACTTAGTGTGTTGATAAAGGACAATTAGAAATAAGATTTTGTCTCTCTAGGGCACCTATCATTCAGCCTTGCACATAGTGCATTGCTCACTGAGGTACACTTTCTTTTAATGATAGAAACAGACTTGCCTCCAGACTGACCTAGGAATTAAGCTCTAGTCTGCCATTTCCTAGTTAGGCAAGTTAAACTCTTAAGCCTCAATTATTTCATCTGAAAACACATAAAGAGTGAAGGTATGTGTTGCACAGGAATGGCCGATTTACTGGAAATGATGCCTGTAAAATGATTAGCAAAGTGTACAAATCTTAGAGTACTTGGCAGTGCACAGCACCCAATCAATGCTACCCACTGTTTTTGCAGTAAGAGAACAATAAAGTTTTGTTGAATTTCTGAATGCTTCGTATGATATACTCAGAGTTCACTTGTAAAAAGTGTCATGTTGAACCATGTGAAATTGCCTGTGTGATACCATGGGTTTTTATCTTTTTTTTTTTTTCTTCCAAATCCTATGCTACCACTTTTTTTCCAATCTCAGGATAGATAATGAAGGAATCAATGACTCTGTATACTTTAGTGAGTAGTTAATATGTGCTAGGCATGCTAGTAGTTTCTTTCATGGACATTATTTAAGTTACACCTCACAACAATATTGTAAAGTAGTATATTGTTATTCTGAGCAAACAGGGTCTTAGAGAGGCAAGTGGCCCAGCAAGATCCAAAGCTAACAAGTGGAAAAGCTGGAATTTGAGCACAAATCGTTTAATTCTAACATAGCCTACTTTCTTGAAAGCATCATTTTCCCCAAATTTATGTGCTTTTTTATGTTTTATGTATACATTCCCCTAAAATCTAGTTGTATAACCAAAACAGGCAGTTTTATTGACTTAATTAAAAGGCCAATTAGACTTTCCCTCTTTTCTTTGCAGTTATGGGTAAACTGAGTTTCTTGCAAACTACCTTTTTCTCCCTGTGATTAAAGGTTTTCTACAAATCTAAATTGAGAGAAACTGGCAAGGGGAGTGCAAGAGGGCACAAAAGTGTTACAAACAGAATCAGAATAAGGGAAATTCTGAATGACAGTCTTGTCCTTTTGACTATATAGAGTAGATGGCATTTCAATCATCTTCGAGTCTCCTAAGTACTTTGTACATTTAAATGATGAATTAAAAATTGACCTACTCAGCCGGGTGTGGTGGCTCACGCCTGTAATCCTAGCACTTTGGGAGGCCAAGGCGGGAGGATTGCTTGAGCTCAGGAGTTCCAGACCAGCCTGAGCAAGAGTGAGACCCTGTCACTATAAATAGAAAGAAATTGGCCAAACAACTAAAAACAGAAGAAATTAGAGGGATGTGGTGGTGTGTGCATGTAGTCCCAGCTACTGGGGAGGCTAGGCAGGAGGAATGCTTGAGCACAGGAGTTTGAGGTTGCTGTGAGCTAGGCTGATGCCACAGCACTCTAGCCCAGCCAACAAAGTGAGACTCTGTCTCAAAAAAAAAAAAAAAAAAAAATTGACCCACTTGTGCAACCTTGGACTTGTCAGTCACTCTCTTTGGAAGAGATGGACCAGGTAACAAGGCAGAGATTTGAGTCTGTGTACATCTATGATCTTCTGAGGTCACTAGTCAACTTATACCTGTATTACCTGAAGGACAAAGAACTTGTGAAGCCACGTTCTTAGTTGCACGATGGTAAACAGTCTCAAGAGAGGATAAGCTATCTTTGCAAAGACTAGCTCTCATCTTTCTGGGAGTTTTTCTCTGGGCCATACCTATCTTAGAAGAAGCTGGCTACTGCTCTAGGTGTTTTCTTTGGAATAACAGAAAAGTTCTTTACCAAGTCAAGAGTTCTGACTTGGGAACTTTAGGGAATTGTATTTTCAATTGAGTAATAGCCAATATATAACCTAAATCAATACAAAACTTTTCAACTAGCATACTCTAATTAGTGTAAAAGACCATTTACATTCCTAAGGACTTGATGATCACCCACAAGAAATAAATTTTATTGAACTCTTACGTTTTTTTATCCCTGAAAATTGATGCAAATCTTCCTAATATTCCACATTATCTGCATGTTTGTTTTGATATGAAATCATTCTCCAAAATTTTTCATGTTAAAATTGATCCTTAAAACAGCTGTGCCATGTTGATCCTGAAAACTTACTTTCTACAAAAACACAGCTTTATATCCTCTAGATTCTAGAATATGCACGTTCCAGTTTAAGAAGCCTGTATGGATCCAAATAACCACTACCACTGTTCCAGATTTATATAGAGAATGAAGTCAACAAAACATGTAGCTATTGGTTTGTGCAATACTCAACATTTGGTACGATATTTGGGGATCATATGGTTGGGATATCTGAGCATATTGGACCATCTAAAAGTTGTGTCTAATTGGTTTCTTCTTTGCAATAACAAAGCACCTCATATACTTTAAAGTTGATATAACATCTAGATAGAGCCTAACTTACATCTTTACCTTGTCATAATACAATAGCAACAACAACAAGCATCTCTTTCTTTCTGGAACAAATTTAGCAACAGACCAGGTAGCCTTTTTCCCCCATGTTTCTTTTAAGTATTACCTGTTGGGCAGGAGGAGGTCATAACATGATGAGTGGGAAACTTTTTTATAAAGAAATTAAGAGAATAGTTAGATCAATATTATAATGGATATTCTAGTTCTTGGATTTCTCATGTGATACCCTGAATTTCACAGTATTTCTCTAGGTTTGATTTCCCCTTCTCTTTCCTAAACCTTATATTAAATGAAGCCAATGTAGGCTTTACACTCCATTGAGACACAAGTGTTTTGAGAATAAGGATTTATGCCCACGACAGAGAGTGAGCCTAAAGAGGCTGAAAAGAACAAAAACAGAAGGCACCAGAGGGACTTTTCATCTCTGGTGTCCAAATGAACAGAGAAATTCATTTCATTTTGAATGTATAGGCTTAGTTCAACCACAAGACTGTACATACTGGTTTGAGGACTAGACTGTTAGCCACCATGAGGCAGGAGCTTAAAACTATAGGCACCTATGACAGCTTGGGTCATGAGTCATGGAGGATTCTACCTTCTTTTTGTTCCCATGTTTTCCTTCTTGAAGAATTAATTTAAAAACTCTCCCTTTCTTTCTACCTAAAACATAATTTTTAGCCAAACACTTTCCCTTTGCTCCTTAGAAGAGAAAGAAGAGAGATTCTTTTGGTTGCATTGGCGGGGAAAACATTTACTAGATAAATCACGATCTAGATTGTAATTATGTTTCTCAAGTCTGAAAACACTGTAATCCAACATATTTTGTCTTAGATTTTAGGTGCTGTTTTTCCAGTAGACTATCTAGTTTTGCCTATAGCTAAACTGGAATCAATCAAATAATACAACTATTTAGGATAATACAAAGTATAGAGGAAGATAGTATAGTGTAAACTAGGTTAAGAACAAGAGCTCTATAGTCAGACTGTCTTCAGACCCTAGCTCTCCCACTTTCTAGCTATGTGACTTCAGAAAATTTCTTAACCTCTTTAAACCCTATATGTCTTCATTTGTTAAATGAGGATCATGATAGCACATGCATACTAAAATGGTTCTATGGATTAAGTGAGCTCATGAATAATTAAGCACTTTCACCATGCCTAACAGTTAATATGAAATAAATGATAATTAGACAGAAGCCCCTGTCATCAGAGCCCCAGCACGATCTTTGGGCTAAAATATAGACAGGACATACAGATACAGTAAAGGACAGTACATTAGCCTTAAAATCATAATAGAAATTCAGAGAAAGAATAGAGAGATTTAAGCTTGAGTGACCTAGGAAGATTTCTAGAAAGAAGAACATATATTTGAGAATTGAAAAATGGGTAAGATTTGGATTAGGCACAAGAGATTTCCTTCTAGTTGAAAGGAACAGGAAGGAGGATGTGAATAGGTAGACCATGTGGTACAGAACAGGAATGATTGAGTGCCATTGTGAGATTAGGCTAAAAAAGCCAGATCCAAGACAGACTGAAATGTTTTGCAGAGGAGTGTGAAGATGGACATTTACACATTAGAAAGGCAGAAAAAATATCTAAGGTGAATAACATGATAATAGAGAACCAGATGGATTAGAGAGGAGGAGAAGGGACATGAAAGGCTGGATAGCTATCACATGAATCCAAATGTAAGATAGCATTGGAGAGAGCTAACTGGGGCCATAGGACAGGACCAAGGCAACACTGAACAGACAATTTGGGAAACCATCATATTAAACTAGAGATGACTTGAGACTTGTATCATCCTTTCTTTTAGTAGGTCCAATATACTACCTATGGAAGGAATAAATAAAACTACAAAGATACAATTCTTCTTTCGTCCATTCTCACCTAACCCTGAGGTCCAGATGGTGATTTTTGTGGCCTTCCTGATGATGTACCTGACCAGCCTCAGTGGAAATGCCACAATTGCAGTCACTGTCCAGGGCAACCACTCCCTCCACACCCCCATGTACTTCTTTCTGGCTAACCTGGCAGTTCTAGAAATCTTCTATACATCTTCCATTGCCCCACTGGCCTTGGCAAACCTCCTTTCAATGGGAAAAACTCCTGTTTCCATCACTGGATGTGGCACCCAAATGTTTTTCTTTGTCTTCTTGGGTGGGGCTGATTGTGTCTTGCTTGCAGTCATGGCTTATGACCGGTTTATAGCGATCTGTTGCCCTTTGCGATACACCCTCATCATGAGTTGGTCTTTGTGCATGGAGCTGATGGTAGGGTCCCTGGTGCTGGGGTTCCTCATCTCACTGCTGCTCACCATTTTAATATTCCAACTCCCATTCTGCCGAAACAATGAGATCTACCACTTCTACTGTGATGTACCTGCAGTGATGCACCTGGCTTGTGCAGACACACATGTTCATGAGACTGCCGTCTATATCATCAGCTTCATCGTCCTAAGCATCCCCCTCTCACTCATCTCCATCTCCTATGTCTTCATCGTGGTAGCCATTTTACGGATCCAGTCAGCAGAAGGGCGTCAGCGAGCCTTCTCCACCTGCTCCTCTCATATCCTGGTGGTCCTCCTGCAGTATGGCTGCACCAGCTTTATATATCTGTCCCCCAGTTCCAGCTACTCTCCTGAGATGGGCCGGATCGTGGCTGTGGTCTACACTTTTATCACCCCCATTTTAAACCCCTTGATCTATAGTATGAGGAACAAGGAACTGAAAGATGCCCTAAGAAAAACATTGAGAAAGTTCTAGGTAGATTGATCCTTTGATTTATTTAAATTGGAACACTTTTAAAGGTAAGTGGGATGCTATAAATAGTTATGCTGAGACGATATGCATAAGCCAAGAATGTCCTCAGCAATCTGAAGTATGTGGCCCATTATTCTGGGAGCTCCAAAGGAAATGAATGCCCCTGTCTTACTGAATTAAAGGTATGTCACATGGGCAACATGAAGAGGGAGGATCAACATTTATTTGACAGCAACTATATACCAGGTACTTTACATGGATTATCTCACTTAACCCATAGTGAGTCTTCATTTTACTGAAAATAAAACTCAAGTAGCTAATAACAAATATATCCAGGATGAGAACACAAGTACTTAGAAATCTAAACACTAAGCTATCCTGGTTCTGGTCTTGCTCTGCCAGTAAAAACATACGTAATCTCAGGACAGTCATCCAGATGCTGACTGAGCTTCCAAAGAGAGAGATCAGGACCTCATAAGACTCTCCATTCCTCAATGGACAACTTGAGTCATTAAAGTACTATACCTATTTTGAGCTTAAGTCTGTCCACAAACAACATTCTCCCATTGGTCTTGCTTTCACTCCTGAGCTCTCTTCTATTACACATGGAAGCTCTTCAAATAAGGTAAGAAAGATTTGTATCTTCTGTAAGTCTTCAGTCTTCTTTTCTCTACAACAAGTACTCTAACTCTTCGTCCAGGAGATTGTATTTGAATCCTCTCACCATGTCATTCACTTTCTAGATGTTCTCTAGCTCCATACCCTTGTACAAATTTTCACCCAAAAACAGCCACAATACACTGGGAATATTTTGCTCTGGGAAACCATTACTTGTCGTGACCTATAAACCACATTTTCATTAATTCATTCTGACCACTTAGACTCATAAATTTGGTAACAAATAAAACTTCCGTGTAGGCCGGGTGCCCTGGCTCACGCCTGTAATCCTAGCACTCTGGGAGGCCAATGGGGGCGGATTTCTCGAGGTCAGGAGTTCGAATCCACCCTGAGCAAGAGCGAGACCCCGTCTCTACTAAAAATTGAAAGAAATTATCAGGACAACTAAAAATATATATAGAAAAAATTAGCTGGGCATGGTGGTGCATGCCTGTAGTCCCAGCTCCTTGAGAGGCTGAGGCAGTAGGATCGCTTGAGCCCAGGAGTTCGGGGTTGCTGTAAGCTAGGCTGATGCCATGGCACTCACTCTAGCCTAGGCAACAAAGTAAAACTCTGTCTCAAAAAAAAAAAAAAAACCCTCCATGTAGCTTCCACATAACTTTCAATTCTGCCTGAACACAATTTATTTTAGTTGAATAAATTTAAGATATTTCATTTAACATTGATGAATTGTGTTTTATCAGTTTTGTCAAGTGATGCAAACTGCCAAAGTCATCTTTGGGCTTTGTTTTATTCATCACAGTTTTGTGCCATGGTTAAAATTATAATCATATTTCATTGCCTTTGTCTAATTTATTAACAAAAATGTAGAATAGGATAGGATGAAGGCAGACTCTTTGGTAGTCTTCCTCTTTGGGAATTATTCAGTTAGATATAAATCTGCTCTATTAATACCATTTGTGGTAGATTGTTGCAATTCTGGCGCACAGAATCCCACCTCCCTACATCCATGCCTTCAGGTAGTCCTCTCCACCATAACTCTAGGAAAGATTGTGTGACTTGCTTTGGCCAATGGGACATTAGCAAATGTATTGCAAGCATAGTCTTACACTTTGGGGCCTTTCTTTTCTTGCTGTCCTAAGACCTCCCGATAGCCCAGGCAAGGATGCCATCCTATAGAACAGAGATAACCCCTCCAAACTGAGACTCCCTAGACCAACCAGTCCCAATCTACCAGCGGACTTTAGCCACATTAGTAACTCCAGTAAGACCAGCAGAGTTTAGCCCAAATTGTTGACCTACAGAATCAGGGCAAATAAATGATGGATATTGTAAGCCATTACATTTGGAATGGTTTATTTTGCAGCAAAACATAACTGATGTGCCATCCAATCTATAATTAACCATCTCTCCCAGAAGGATATCATGGGAAACATATCAAATCCTTTCATGCAATCAAAACATACTACAGGACTTATATAAATACAACCATTTTAAGCCCTATTTTAAAAAATGAGGTGCACTTGGCATGATTTATCATGAATCTTTTTATATGGGATTTTAGAAATCACTGGTCTTTTCAAAACACTTTTAAATTATATGTGAAATCATTCATTTCCAGAATTTTACTGGAGATTGGCATTGAGATGGCAATCTTATTGTTTTGAAACCCACTAATAGTTATATACACATTTTGTATCTGTATTTTCATCTGGATGGGAAAAGAAACATTTCAATAGTTGTTAGTGCCATGGCAATGGAAAAAGTAGCCTTCATTTTTGAATACCAATAACAGTGGGTAGCACTTATTAGACTCAGCTAATTCACGGTCGAGACAGATTACATTTTAGGAGGATGTACACATCTTGTCTTTCTTAAAAATTACATGCTTCTTATATAAAGTGATTGTGTCTTTTTTTTTTTTTCTATCTTGTATATTCTTCACTGCTTCTTTAACAGTGATGGTACTCCATAAACATTTGTGGAATTGAACAAGACTTTCTTTGGCAATAAGTTTTTTCTGATTTTCATACTTTTATTATAAAATGTCACTAATAAAGGTATATTTTCATTTAAAACATTTGTGTTTTATTTGATTCTATTAATAGTATCTGTGAATCCTATATTCTTTAAGAATTACAAATAATGAAGAATACACATGAGCACTATAAAATATCCATTGGAAAGGAGTAGGTGGTTATTATTGCATATTAAAGGAAGATCACATACTTGCTATCTTTAACCCAATTTGAGCAAGGATTTCTAAAATATCAGTCATGCATAGAGGATTTTGAGAATTTGGAAATTTCACATGCCTTGGAGATAGTGTTATTGATGCTGCTTCACTTTATCCCAATGATTCTAGAGAGTCAAGTGGACAGGCATGCTCTACAGTCATGCCCAGAAAAAGAATCCCCACACAGACTCCCGGTTTTCTCATCATCTCTTTTATGTATTGCAGTGTTCAGAAGGAGAAGAAAGGAAAGAGAAGTTCTACTAACCAGAGTAGAAAAGGAATAATGGGAAAGAGGTTGTCAATAGATTCTGGAAAGAACAAATGAGATGAACAGATGAGAACAGAGTGGACAGAGGAGAGGAGATATTAGAGGAATCTCTGGAATGTGACTGCTATGGTTCAAATGTTGTCCCTCCAAAGTTCATGTTGAAACCTACACCTCATTGTGAAGGTATTAAGATATGAGGCCTTTGGGGAAGTTATTAAGTCATGATGGCTCCTCATGAAGAGGTTATTGTCTTATAAAAGGACTGGAGGGAACAAGCTAAGGACCTTGGAGCCCTTTTGTCCCTCCCATCACTTAAGGACACAGAGATTCAAGGTGCCATCTTGGAAGCAGAGACTGGGGCCCACACCAGACACCTAACCTGCTGGCATCTTGGTCCTGAACTTCTCAGCCACCAGAACTATGAGGAAATAAATTTACATTCTTTATAAATTACACAGTCTCTGGTATTATAAGCACAAATGTACTAATATATGACAAAATTAAAGGAGTCTTAGGTTATTATAAAAGGCCGCAAGGAGTTGAGTGGGCATTGAAGCATCTATGAACATTCTCTGGAAGGGACAATGGGACTGAGATCCAGGAGAAATCTCTTCTAGGAGCTGTGTAAAGGTGGGAATGTTGCTTTCATTCTTCAAGCCTATTAAGGCTTCAATAACAAACCCCACAGACGGGTAACTTAAGCAACAGAAATTTATTTTCTCACAGTTCTGGAGGCTGGAAGCCTAAGATCAAGGTATCAGCAGGGTAGATTTCCTGTGAGGCCTCTGTCCTTCACTTATAGATGGCTGTATTCTCCCTCTGCCTTCACATGGTTTTTCTTCTATGCATTTTTGTATCCTCTATTCTCCTCTATCCTCTATTCTCCTTAAGACCAGTGATATTGGATTAGGTCCTACTCTAATACCTCACTTAATCTTTATTACCTCTTTCAAGGCCCTATCTCCAAATATATTCTGAGATACTGAGCATCACATCATATGAGTTTGTGGGGGAGGTGGGAAATTAAGTTCATGACAAATCCTCAATCTCAATATCTAGATAACAAGAAGACGATGCTTGTTAATATCTAAGAGGTCTTCAGGCACTGACTTTGATTCATTAATTTACTCCCACTTTCTCTTTACATCTATTAATGTGATGGCCATTTCTCCTCACATTGGAGAGGCTTCTACGGTACTTTCCATCATGCTGTGATGGAAATGTTTTTTCAGCTGCTTCTTAATCAGAAAGCAAACTAGAACAACTTTGGCATGAATGAATGAGGCAGCAATTACCCTTCCTCTTTTCTAAGTAGGACAGCAAGACCAAGTGCTAGGATTCTGTGGGTGTCTGACTTGGGAAGACACTCCCTTTTAAAAGGGGTTGCATCCTCAGGCCCTTTGGAAGGCTGATGTTGCCATGTGACTTTCTCCTTATTTTAAATAAGTGGGTATGATGGCGGTGGGGACAGTGGATAGCTGGCCAGGGTGTGTGGGTTTGTTAATTATAAATTACAAACTTGAATATCCTCCACGTGCTTGACTGGTGTGGCACAATTTCTGGATCTGGAATTTGCCAGACCAGTCAGAGAGGCTGCCTAAGCAGGGGCACAGGACTTGATGGTCTTTGGCACCTGAGGCCAGTGTGCACCTTGTAAAGGATAAGGCAAGTTGGCTCGTACACAGTCTGTCCCAACCACCACCTGGTGAGTCTTCACATACTGTGGATCCTAAAAAGCTAAAACTCCCACATTCCCTGACAATTTAGGATGTTCTTTAGTTTCAAATCATATGAATTTCCTCAAGACATGACTTAGAGCTGAGTAAACTGCAGAGAGAGGTGCCATGAGTATGAGAAGTCCATTGTACTGCTGTGAGTCCAGCAGACGAAGCAAGGCTCTGGAGCCAAAAATGCATCAAGGACTCCTCGATTCACCAGGCTCTTCCAGGCAAACAGAGCTCTTCTTCTGGAGCTATTTCTATGCTATTTTTATAGGAGTCATTCCTGGAGACCCAACCTAATTAGAGCCTATTTCTCCATCCCTTTCAATGATTTGGTAAGCACCTATATCCCTTCAATAAATTCTTCCCATTTAAAGTAAGAATTGCTAAAACCTAACTAATACACCACAATTCTTTTTTCTATTGCGTATATAAATATATTTTGAGACAGAGTCTCACTCTGTTGGCAGGGCTAGAGTGCCATGGTGTTAGCCAAGCTCACAGCACCTCAAACTCCTGGGCTGAAGCAATCCTCCTGCCTCAGCCTCCCCATTAACTAGGACTACAGGCACAAACTACCATGCCCAGGTAATTTTTTTCTATATTCAATTGTTTGGCTAATTTCTTTCTATTTATAGTAGAGAGGGGTCTTGATCTTGCTTAGACTCATCTCGAACTCCTGAGCTCAAGCAATCCTCCCGCCTCGGCCTCCCAAAGTGCTAGGATTACAGGCGTGAGCCACCTCACCTGGCCTCAAACCTGGTCTTTTAACCATTCTTTTACACTTCTTCAAACACATTTTGAAAATTTGCCTGCCACACTGTATCTTTCAAAAAAAATAAGCAAATAATTTAAAAAGATGCATATACAGTATAATTTTATTCAGGAAAATGTATGACTAATGTTAAGACTTTTGAAATATTAAAAGTACCTTGAAAACCCCATTAATAATCTTGAGGGCCCTTTGAGATATGAGCATCCAAGGTAGCAACAAATAGATGACCTCTAAAATTTCTTCTAATTCTCTGATTTCACAAATGACTGAAGAAGATGATGAAGAAGAAGAAGCTCTAGATGACCTCTCATTTCTCCAAAGAATACTGGAAGAAAAATCATCTCCCCAGATATTTTACATAAAATTGTATAAAATTGAGTGAAGCATTAGCATTCATTAATTTTAATAAATATTTATTGAGATATTACTGTCAGTATTTGAATGGTTCAATATGTGATACCTGAGTGGATGATGGATTAAAAGTTCTATTTTAAATACACTAAATGTGGCCTGCTGTGGTGGCTCATACCTGTAATCCTAGCACTCTGGGAGGCCAAGACGGGAGGATCCCTCAAGGTCAGCAGTTCAAAACCAGGCTGAGCAAGAGTGAGATTCCGTCTCTACTATAAATAGAAAGAAATTAGCCAAACAACTAAAAATAGAAAAAAATCAGCCAGGTACAGTGTCACATGCTTGTAGTCCCAGCTACTTGGGAGGCTGAGGCATAAGGATCGCTTGAGCCCAGGAGTTAGAGGTTGCTGTGATCTAGGCTAACACCACGGCCCTCTATCCCAGGCAGAGAGTGAGACTCTGTCTCAAAAAAAAGAAAAAAAGGAAAAAGACCAGCCTGAGCAATAATAGTGAAACCCTCGTCTCCACAAAAAAAAAAAAAAAAAATTCATTAAATATGTTAAATGTGAGATACTTATTAGTCATCCAAATAGAGATGTCAGATAGACAAGTGTATACACAAGTCTGCAGTTCAGGGACGAGATTAGGCCTGCTATTGAGTTATCAGCCTATTAAAGCCAAACAACTAATGCAGCTCACCTACAAAATTATGTCAATAGAAGAGAGGACCTAGACCAAGATCCAGCTTGTGCAAAAGTTAGGAAAATAGAGGAAGCCAGCAAAACAGACTAAGAAGAACTATCAGAGAGATAACAGTAAAATTGGGAGGAGAACATGCTAATGACCCTGATCTGATCCCTATACATTATATGGATTGAAACTTTACTGGGTTTCCCATGAAAAACTACAATTATTATTTGTCAATTTAAGAATAAAGTAAAAATTAGGAGGAAATTATTTCCCAGAATCAAAGACAGTAGGAAATATTCTAGAATATGGCCAAAAGAATAATGCTGCATGTAGAAATTTGTTTAATGGAGTCTAGATAAGTACAGTGAAAACAATACTTTTTCTTTCCCCCAACTGACCTCATCATTGAACTTATTCATAAGTTACTAAAAGACCATCCCTGGGGAAGATGTACCAATGGAATAATTCTGATGCAATTTTAACTTTTAGGTACACTACATTTGATCTCATTAATTTTTGCTTCCCAAGCAGACCTCAGTCATCTCAGGGGACCAACAATGACTTGTTAGTTAGATTAGTTATGAATGTCATTATTTGATGATAATTTTGATTCTGAATACCAGTGCAACTCCAAAGGTAAGTTCAAGCTACAGAGGTGTGATAAGTAAAGCCTAGATGATACTTTGTACAAAGAAGAAAGAGGCAAGATGGAACATACCCTCCATCTAAGTGGTGATCTGGTAGGAATCAGATCTCATTTTAAAGTGTCTTAAAATAGTACCCAGGATCAGTGAGATATGTGACTACAAGTGGTCAGCATGTCAGCCCAGGAAAATTTGGAGGACAGTAAGACCTCTGGAGTCCTCAGTGTTTGGCAACAGATGCAAGTAAATATGCAATGGCTTGAAGTCCTCTTGAGTCTGGCAAGTGGTAAGAATCTCCTCCCAGACCCCAGATTTTAGAAGATTAGAAAAATCCTTTGTCAGTAACCAAGCTAAAGGTTGGGGCATACATTGGTCAGGGAACAGAAGCTAAGTATTGAGATTTTCACAGGAGGAGTCAAAGTCCAGTTCTTACTCACAACCAGTATTTTATACCAGATGGTTTCTGTGGAACTCTAGAACACATACTGTGAATGCCATGCTCTTCAAACTGATGAAAAGAAGAGAGAAACTGCTCAAAACAGTCAAGGGATCACACACTAGATCAGATAAAATGAGCTCAATATTTACCAGTCCCAAACTACAGAAATGTGAGTTTCTTCAAGGGTCTACTACTTTTTTTAAATATTGATCATTTCAAATTTCAAATTTATAGAAAGTGAAAAATTAGAAAATATCTACTTCTATTATAAAAGCAGTGACCAGAAGTTTCCTTTACATAGGAGTCACCTTTATGCATTAAAAAATAATTGTAATTATATGCAATTTTTCAAAGGAATTTACTGCAAAAAGAGAGAATACCAGAGCTCCCCTAGCATGTTGTCCTTTTATGACAGCTCTTACCTGGATTTGACTTGTGTCATTTTAGTACTGTCTCTTTCATTCTATTTTGAGCTTTCTGAAAAATCTCCTTTTCCACATTTCTCCCTCTTCTCCCAGAATCTAGAGCTATGCTTTATATTTAGCTAGCCCTTAATAATGTTTTTATAAGGACTTTATTAAAATAAATACTGGATGATCATTTTTTATCAAAAAGATAAAAAACAAAACCATTTAAATAAATAAATACTGTTGATAAAATGAGTAGGTGGTCAGAGAAAGAAAAGGAGAAGCAAAAAGGAAAGCAGGAGAGGTCACAAGTTAGGGTACTGAGCACTGCCTTTGTAATAATCTGAGGAATGCTCATGGCATACCATTTTACAGTGACATAGTTTGTTGATAAAGGACAATTAGAAATAAGATTTTGTCTCTCTAGGGCACCTATCATTCAGCCTTGCACATAGTGCATTGCTCACTGAGGTACACTTTCTTTTAATGATAGAAACAGACTTGCCTCCAGACTGACCTAGGAATTAAGCTCTAGTCTGCCATTTCCTAGCTAGGCAAGTTAAACTCTTAAGCCTCAATTATTTCATCTGAAAACAAAGAGTGAAGGTATGTGTTGCACAGGAATGGCCGATTTACTGGAAATGATGCCTGTAAAATGATTAGCAAAGTGTACAAATCTAAGAGTACTTGGCAGTACACAGCACCCAATCAATGTTACCCACTGTTTTTGCAGTAAGAGAACAATAAAGTTTTGTTGAATTTCTGAATGCTTCGTATGATATACTCAGAGTTCACTTGTAAAAAGTGTCATGTTGAACCATGTGAAATTGCCTGTGTGATACCATGGGTTTTTATCTTTTTTTTTTTTTCTTCCAAATCCTATGCTACCACTTTTTTTCCAATCTCAGGATAGATAATGAAGGAATCAATGACTCTATATACTTTAGTGAGTAGTTAATATGTGCTAGGCATGCTAGTAGTTTCTTTCATGGACATTATTTAAGTTGCACCTCACAACAATATTGTAAAGTAGTATATTGTTATTCTGAGCAAACAGGGTCTTAGAGAGGCAAGTGGCCCAGCAAGATCCAAAGCTAACAAGTGGAAAAGCTGGAATTTGAGCACAAATCGTTTAATTCTAACATAGCCTACTTTCTTGAAAGCATCATTTTCCCCAAATTTATGTGCTTTCTTATGTTTTATGTATACATTCCTCTAAAATCTAGTTGTATAACCAAAACAGGCAGTTTTATTGACTTAATTAAAATGCCACTTAGACTTTCCCTCTTTTCTTTGCAGTTTTGGGTAAACTGAGTTTCTTGCAAACTACCTTTTTCTCCCTGTGATTAAAGGTTTTCTACAAATCTAAATTGAGAGAAACTGGCAAGAGGGTGCAGGAGGGCACAAAAGTGTTACAAACAGAATCAGAATAAGGGAAATTCTGAATGACAGTCTTGTCCTTTTGACTATATAGAGTAGATGGCATTTCAATCATCTTCGAGTCCCCTAAGTACTTTGTGCATTTAAATGATGAATTAAAAATTGACCCACTCAGCCGGGTGTGGTGGCTCACGCCTGTAATCCTAGCACTTTGGGAGGCCGAGGCAGGAGGATTGCTTGAGCTCAGGAGTTCCAGACCAGCCTGAGCAAGAGTGAGACCCTGTCACTATAAATAGAAAGAAATTGGCCAAACAACTAAAAACAGAAGAAATTAGAGGGATGTGGTGGTGTGTGCATGTAGTCCCAGCTACTGGGGAGGCTAGGCAGGAGGACTGCTTGAGCACAGGAGTTTGAGGTTGCTGTGAGCTAGGCTGATGCCACAGCACTCTAGCCCAGCCAACAGAGTGAGACTCTGTCTCAAAAAAAAAAAAAAAAAGTTGACCCACTTGTGCAACCTTGGCCTTGTCAGTCACTCTCTTTGGAAGAGATGGACCAGGTAACAAGGCAGAGATTTGAGTCTGTGTACATCTATGATCTTCTGAGGTCACTAGTCAACTTATACCTGTATTACCTGAAGGACAAAGAACTTGTGAAGCCATGTTCTTAGTTGCACGATGGTAAACAGTCTCAAGAGAGGATAAGCTATCTTTGCAAAGACTAGCTCTCATCTTTCTGGGAGTTTTTCTCTGGGCCATACCTATCTTAGAAGAAGCTGGCTACTGCTCTAGTGTTTTCTTTGGAATAACAGACAAGATCTTTACCAAGTCAAGAGTTCCGACATGGGAACTTTGGGGAATTGTATTTTTGATTGAGTAATAGCCAATCTATAGCCTAAATCAATACAAAACTTTTCAACTTGCATACTCTAATTAGTGTAAAAGACCATTTACATTCCTAAGGACTTGCTGATCACCCATTGAACTCTTACGTTTTTTTATCCCTGAAAATTGATGCAAATCTTCCTAATATTCCACATTATCTGCATGTTTGTTTTGATATGAAATCATTCTCCAAAATTTTTCATGTTAAAATTGATCCTTAAAACAGCTGTGCCATGTTGATCCTGGAAACTTACTTTCTACAAAAACACAGCTTTATATCCTCTAGATTCTAGAATATGCACGTTCCAGTTTAAGAAGCCTGTATGGATCCAAACAACCACTACCACCGTTCCAGATTTATAGAGAGAGTGAAGTCAACAAAACATGTAGCTATTGTAACACTCAACATTTGGTACGATATTTGGGGATCATATGGTTGGGATATCTGAGCATATTGGACCATCTAAAAGTTGTGTCTAATTGGTTTCTTCTTTGCAATAACAAAGCACCTCATATACTTTAAAGTTGATATAACATCTAGATAGAGCCTAACTTACATCTTTACCTTGTCATAATACAATAGCAACAACAACAAGCATCTCTTTCTTTCTGGAACAAATTTAGCAACAGACCAGGTAGCCTTTTTCCCCCATGTTTCTTTTAAGTATTACCTGTTGGGCAGAAGGAGGTCATAACATGATGAGTGGGAAACTTTTTTATAAAGAAATTAAGAGAATAGTTAGATCAATATTATAATGGATATTCTAGTTCTTGGATTTCTCATGTGATACCCTGAATTTCACAGTATTTCTCTAGGTTTGATTTCCCCTTCTCTTTCCTAAACCTTATATTAAATGAAGCCAATGTATGCTTTACACTGCATTGAGACACAAGTGTTTTGAGAATAAGGATTTATGCCCACGACAGAGAGTGAGCCTAAGGAGGCTAAAAAGAACAAAAACAGAAGGCACCAGAGGGACTTTTCATCTCTGGTGTCCAAATGAACAGAGAAATTCATTTCATTTTGAATGTATAGGCTTAGTTCAACCACAAGACTGTACATACTGGTTTGAGGACTAGACTGTTAGCCACCATGAGGAAGGAGCTTAAAACTATAGGCAACTATGACAGCTTGGGTCGTGAGTCATGGAGGATTCTATCTTCTTTTTGTTCCCATGTTCTCCTTCTTGAAGAATTAATTTAAAAACTCTCCCTTTCTTTCTACCTAAAACATAATTTTTAGCCAAACACTTTCCCTTTGCTCCTTAGAAGAGAAAGAAGAGAGATTCTTTTGGTTGCATTGGTGGGGAAAACATTTACTAGATAAATCACGATCTAGATTGTAATTATGTTTCTCAAGTCTGAAAACACTGTAATCCAACATATTTTGTCTTAGATTTTAGGTGCTGTTTTTCCAGTAGACCATCTAGTTTTGCCTATAGCTAAACTGGAATCAATCAAATAATACAACTATTTAGGATAATACAAAGTATAGAGGAAGATAGTATAGTATAAACTAGGTTAAGCACAAGAGCTCTATAGTCAGACTGTCTTCAGACCCTAGCTCTCCCACTTTCTAGCTATGTGACTTCAGAAAATTTCTTAACCTCTTTAAACCCTATATGTCTTCATTTGTTAAATGAGGATCATGATAGCACATGCATACTAAAATGGTTCTATGGATAAAGTAGCTCATGAATAATTAAGCACTTTTCACCATGCCTAACAGTTAATATAAAATAAATGATAATTTGACATAAGCCACTGTCATCAGAGCCCCAGCACGATCTTTGGGCTAAAATATAGTTACGGACAGGACATACAGATACAGTAAAGGACAGTATATTAGCCTTAAAATCATAATGGAATTTCAGAGAAAGAATAGAGAGATTTAAGCTTGAGTGACCTAGGAAGATTTCTAGAGAGAAGAACATATATTTGAGAATTGAAAAATGGGTAAGATTTGGATTAGGCACAAGAGATTTCCCTCTATTTGGAAGGAACAGGAAGGAGGATGTGAATAGGTAGACCATGTGGTACAGAACAGGAATGATTGAGTGCCATTGTGAGATTAGGCTAAAAAAGCCAGATCCAAGACAGACTGAAATGTTTCGCAGAGGAGTGTGAAGATGGACATTTACACATTAGAAAGGCAGAAAAAATATCTAAGGTGAATAACATGATAATAGAGAACCAGATGGATTCGAGAGGAGGAGAAGGGACATGAAAGGCTGGATAGCTATCACATGAATCCAAATGTAAGATAGCATTGGAGAGAGCTAACTGGGGCCATAGGACAGGACCAAGGCAACACTGAACAGACAATTTGGGAAACCATCATATTAAACTAGAGATGACTTGAGACTTGTATCATCCTTTCTTTTAGTAGGTCCAATATACTACCTATGGAAGGAATAAATAAAACTACAAAGATACAATTCTTCTTTCGTCCATTCTCACCTAACCCTGAGGTCCAGATGGTGATTTTTGTGGCCTTCCTGATGATGTACCTGACCAGCCTCAGTGGAAATGCCACAATTGCAGTCACTGTCCAGGGCAACCACTCCCTCCACACCCCCATGTACTTCTTTCTGGCTAACCTGGCAGTTCTAGAAATCTTCTATACATCTTCCATTGCCCCACTGGCCTTGGCAAACCTCCTTTCAATGGGAAAAACTCCTGTTTCCATCACTGGATGTGGCACCCAAATGTTTTTCTTTGTCTTCTTGGGTGGGGCTGATTGTGTCCTGCTTGCAGTCATGGCTTATGACCGGTTTATAGCGATCTGTTACCCTTTGCGATACACCCTCATCATGAGTTGGTCTTTGTGTATGGAGCTGATGGTAGGGTCCCTGGTGCTGGGGTTCCTGCTGTCACTGCCGCTCACCATTCTAATCTTCCAACTCCCATTCTGCCGAAACAATGAGATCTACCACTTCTACTGTGACATGCCTGCAGTGATGCACCTGGCTTGTGCAGACACACATGTTCACGAGACTGCCCTCTATGTCATCAGCTTCATCGTCCTAAGCATCCCCCTCTCACTCATCTCCATCTCCTATGTCTTCATCGTGGTAGCCATTTTACGGATCCAGTCAGCAGAAGGGCGCCAGCGAGCCTTCTCCACCTGCTCCTCTCATATCCTGGTGGTCCTCCTGCAGTATGGCTGCACTAGCTTTATATATCTGTCCCCCAGTTCCAGCTACTCTCCTGAGATGGGCCGGATCGTGGCTGTGGTATACACTTTTATCACCCCCATTTTAAACCCCTTGATCTATAGTATGAGGAACAAGGAACTGAAAGATGCCCTAAGAAAAACACTGAGAAAGTGCTAGGTAGATTGATCCTTTGATTTTTTTTTTTTTTTTTTTGAGACAGAGTCTCACTTTGTTGCCCAGGCTAGAGTGAGTGCCATGGCATCAGCCTGGCTCACAGCAACCTCAATCTCTGGGGCTCAGCGATCCTACTGCCTCAGCCTCCCAAGTAGCTGGGACTACAGGCATGCACCACCATGCCCGGCTAATTTTTTGTGTATATATTTTTAGTTGGTCAATTAATTTATTTCTATTTTTGGTAGAGACGGGGTCTCGCTCAGGCTGGTTTCGAACTCCTGACCTTGAGCAATCCACCCGCCTCAGCCTCCCAAAGTGCTAGGATTACAGGCATGAGCCACCAAGCCCGGCCGATCCTTTGATTTATTTAAATTGGAACACTTTTAAAGGTAAAGTGGGATGCTATTAATAGTTATGCTGAGACGATATGCATAAGCCAAGAATGTCCTCAGCAAACTGAAGTATGTGGCCCATTATTCTGGGAGCTCCAAAGGAAATGAATGACCTTGTCTTACTGAAAATAAAGGTGTGTCACGAGGGCAACATGATGTCATGGGTCTAGATGAAGAGGGAGGATCAACATTTATTTAACAACAACTATATACCAGGTACTTTACATGGATTATCTCAGTTAACCCATAGTGAGTCTTCATTTTACTGAAAACAAACTCAATATATCCAGGATAAGAACACAACTACTTAGAAATCTAAACACTAAGCTATCCTGATCTGGTCTTGCTCTGCCAGTAAAAATATACGTAATCTCAGGACAGTCATCCAGATGCTGACTGAGCTTCTAAAGAGAGAGATCAGGACCTCATAAAACTCTCCATTCCTCAATGGACAACTTCAGTCATTAAAGTACTATACCTATTTTGAGCTAAGGTCTGTCCACAAACAACATTCTCCCATTGGTCTTGCTTTCACTCCTGAGCTCTTTTGTATTACACATGGAAGCTCTTCAAATAAGGTAAGAAAGATTTGTATCTTCTGTAAGTCTTCAGTCTTCTTTTCTCTACAACAAGTACTCTAACTCTTCGTCCAGGAGATTGTATTTGAATCCTCTCACCATGTCATTCACTTTCTAGATGTTCTCTAGCTCCATACCCTTGTACAAATTTTCACCCAAAAATAGCCACAATACACTAGGAATATTTTGCTCTGGGAAACCATTACTGTTTGTGACCTGTAAACCATGTTTTCATTAATTCATTCTGACCACTTTAGAGTCACAAATTTGGTAGCAAATAAAACCTCCATGTAGCTTCCAGATAACTTTCAATTCTGGCTGAACACAATTTAGTTTAGTACAATAAATTTAGCATATTTCATTTAACACTGATAAATTGTGTTTTATCAGTTTTTGTCAGTAATGCAAAGTGATCTTTGGACTTTATTTTATTCATCACAGTTTTGTGCCATGGTTAAAATTATAATCATATTTCATTACCTTTGTCTAAATTATTAACAAAAATGTAGAATAGGATAGGATGAAGGCAGACTCCTTGGTAGTCCTCCTCTTTGGGAATTATTCAGTTAGATATAAATCTGCTCTATTAATACCATTTGTGGTAGATTGTTGCAATTCTGGGCCCCACTGAATCCCACCTCCCTACATCCATGCCTTCAGGTAGTCCTCTCCACCATAACTCTAGGAAGGATTGTGTGACTTGCTTTGGCCAATGGGACATTAGCAAATGTATTGCAAGCATAGTCTTACACTTTGGGGCCTTTCTTTTCTTGCTGTCCTAAGACCTCCCGATAGCCCAGGCAAGGATGCCATCCTATAGAACAGAGATAACCCCCCCCCCCCAAACTGAGACTCCCTAGACCAACCAGTCCCAATCTACCAGCGGACTTTAGCCACATTAGTAACTCCAGTAAGACCAGCAGAGTTTAGCCCAAATTGTTGACCTACAGAATCAGGGCAAATAAATGATGGATATTTTAAGCCATTACATTTGGAATGGTTTATTTTGCAGCAAAAAATAACTGAAGTGCCATCCAATCTATAATTAACCATCTCTCCCAGAGGGATATCATGGGAAACATATCAAATCATTTCATGCAATCAAAACATACTAGAGGACTTATATAAATACAACCATTTAAAGCCCTATTTTTGAAAATGAGGTAAATTTGGCATGATTTATCATGAATCTTTTTATATGGGATCTTAGTAATCACCAGTCTTTTCAAAACACATCCAACTTATGTGTGAAATCATTCATTTCCAGAATTTTACTGGGGATTGGCATTGAGATGACAATCATATTGTTTTGAAACCCACTAATAGTTATAAACACATTTTGTATGTGTAGTTTCATCTGGATGGGAAAAGAAACATTTCAATAGTTTTGAGTGCTGTGGCAATGGAAAAAGTAGCCTTCATCTTTGAATACCAATAACAGTGGGTAGCACTTATTAGACTCAGCTAATTCACGGTCGAGACAGATTACATCTTAGGAGGATGCACAAATCTTGTCTCTCTTAAAAGTTATATGCTTCTTATATAAAGTGAATGTGTCTTTTTCTTTTTTCTATCTTGTATATTCTTCACTGCTTCTTTAACAGTGATGGTACTCCATAAATATTTGTGGAATTGAACAAGACTTTCTTTGGCAATAAGTTTTTTCTGATTTTCATACTTTTATTATAAAATGTCACTAATAAAGGTATATTTTCATTTAAAACATTTGTGTTTTATTTGATCCTATTAATAGTATCTGTGAATCCTATATTCTTTAAGAATTACAAATAATGAAGAATACACATGAGAACTATAAAATATCCATTGGAAAGGAGTAGGTGGTTATTATTGCATATTAAAGGAAGATCACATACTTGCTATCTTTAACCCAATTTGAGCAAGGATTTCTAAAATATCAGTCATGCATAGAGGATTTTGAGAATTTGGAAATTTCACATGCCTTGGAGATAGTGTTATTGATGCTGCTTCACTTTATCCCAATGATTCTAGAGAGTCAGGTGGACAGGCATGCTCTGCAGTCATGCCTAGAAAAAGACTTCACACACAGACTCCCAGTTTTCTTGTCATCTCTTTTATGTATTGCAGTGTTCAGAAGGAGAAGAAAGGAAAGAGAAGTTCTACTAACCAGAGTAGAAAAGGAATAATGGGAAACAGGTTGTCAGAAGATCCTGGAAAGAACAAATTAGATGAAGAGATGAGGACAGAGTGGACAGAGGAGAATAGATATTTGAGGAATCTCTGGAATGTGACTGCTATGGTTTGAATGTGAGTCCCTTCAAGATTCATGTTGAAACCTACACCTCATTGTGAAGGTATTAAGATATGAGGCCTTTTGGGGAAGTGATTAAGTCATGATGGCTCCTCATGAAGAAGTTATTGTCTTATAAAAGGACTGTAAGGAACAAGCTTAGGACCTCTGTGCCCTTTTGTCCCTCCCATCACTTAAGGACACAGAGATTCAAGGCGCCATCTTGGAAGCAGAGACTGGGGCCCACACCAGACACCTAACCTGCTGGCATCTTGGTCCTGAACTTCTCAGCCACCAGAACTATGAGGAAATAAATTTACATTCTTTATAAATTACACAGTCTCTGGTATTATAAGCACAAATGGTCTAAGATATGACAAAATAAAAGGAGTCTTAGGTTATTATAACAGGCAGCAAGGAGTTGAGTCGGCATTGAAGCATCTATGAACACTTCTCTGGAAGGGACAATGGGACTGAGATCCAGGAGAAATCTCCTCTAGGAGCTGTGTAATGGTGGGAACGTTGCTTTCATTCTTCAAGTCTATGAAGGCTTCCATAACGAAGCCCCACAGACTGGGTAACTTAAGCAACAGAAATTTATTTTCTCACAGTTCTGGAGGTCAGAAGCCTAAGATCAAGGTATCAGCAGGGTAGATTTCTTGTGAGGCCTCTGTCCTTCACTTATAGATGGCTGTATTCTCCCTCTGCCTTCACATGGTTTTTCTTCTATGCATTTTTGTATCCTCTATTCTCCTCTATCCTCTATTCTTCATAAGACCAGTGATATTGGATTAGGCCCTACTCTAATACCTCACTTAATCTTTATTACCTCTTTCAAGGCCCTATCTCCAAATATATTCTGAGATATTGAGCACCTCATCATATGAGTGTGTGGGGAAAAATTTAGTTCATGACAAATCCTCAATCTCAATATCTAGATAACAAGAAGACGATGCTTGTTAATATCTAAGAGGTCTTCAGGCACTGACTTTGATTCATTAATTTAACTCCCACTTTCTCTTTACATCTATTAATGTGATGGCCATTTCTCCTCACATTGGAGAGGTTTCTACAGTACTTTCCATCATGCTGTGATGGAAATGGTTTCTCAGCTGCTTCTTAATCAGAAAGCAAAATAGAACAACTTTGGCATGAATGAATGAGGCAGCAATTACCCTTCCTCTTTTCTAAGTAGGACAGAAAGACCAAGTGCTAGGATTCTGTGGGTGTCTGACTTGGGAAGACACTCCCTTTTAAAAGGGGTTGCATTCTCAGGCCCTTTGGAAGGCTGATGTTGCCATGTGACTTTCTCGTTATTTTAAATAAGTGGGTATGATGGCGGTGGGGACAGTGGATAGCTGGCCAGGGTGTGTGGGTTTGTTAATTATAAATTACAAACTTGAATATTCTCCATGTCCTTGACTAGTGTGGCACAATTTCTGGATCTGGAATTTGCCAGACCAGTCAGAGAGGCTGCCTAAGCAGGGGCACAGGACTTGATGGTCTTTGGCACCTGAGGCCAGTGTGCACCTTGTAAAGGATAAGGCAAGTTGGCTCGTACACAATCTGTCCCAACCACCACCTAGTGAGTCTTCACATACTGTGTATCCTAAAAAGCTATAAACTCCCACATTCCCTAACAATTTAGGATGTTCTTTAGTTTCAAATCATATGCATTTCCTCAAGACATGACTTAGAGCTGAGTAAACTGCAGAGAGAGGTGCCAGGAGTATGAGAAGTCCATTGTACTGCTGTGAGTCCAGCAGATGAAGCAAGGC